GAGAAAAAATAGAAGGGGGGGGGGGGGAGAGGGGCAGGATAAAGGCATACTGTCAGCTGTGAGAGAGATCCATTTTTTGCCTATGTGGTTTGCAAGCTGTGCAATGAATTAATTGAGAAGAAAAAACAATGATTCTGAAACGATAGAATTAATCATTGGTAGAAGTGAACACTATACTTTTTACCTCCTCCCTGAATGGGAAGATAACCGACAGGAGGTGAAGCAGTGATATGAATCTATAGTCACATGCTTCAGTGCAAGAACACTTTTCCAAATGCTCTGCTCCTCCTAGCTATGGTGATGGTAGGTTTTTAGGGCAGCCTCTTTGGGGAATTCTCTCCCCTCTTAAATCTTGGCTCTATTTCTTTCTCTACTCCATTTGCTGCAATTCAATATGTTTGTTTGCCTTTTGCCCTCTGTTCATGTTCATGTTACTACCTTCAGTCACTCCTAGCTATCCTCTAGTTATGATCTCTCCGTGTAATCATTAGATCACACACAAACTTGAAGTGAGAATATTTTATTACTTTTTGCTTAGAGGATTCCATGAATTTGATAGGATCTAGATGGTTAAATGAAGGTCTGAGACTTTAAGAGGGGCTAGAGAGGTTAGTCAGTTAAAAGTGATTTGGCAAGTACAGAGTTTCACTTTATCTTTACTTATGAGCCTTAAAAACAGCCCTGCACTAAATCCAATCTTAAAAATTTAGGGCTGGGTTTTTTGTGTGAAGCAGAATTGCATAACATCATTCTGGCCCTCCTTTCTAGCTCTCTCAGGTGCATTAGCCTGCCTAATGAAAAAGTAGTCCAGCAATGAAATCACATGTACTTTCCCACTGTGCTCAGTAAACACTTCTATATTAATGATGTGCCAAATGATTTCTCTCAATCTTTAGTTACCTTTAAAAGATGAAAATCATTGTTCACTTCTTTAGATGCACTGATTCTAAAAGGCAAATCATTCTCAATCACCCTTTTAAAGCAAGAAACAAGGGGAAATGATTAAACAAGAAACAGTGCAGTACATTACATAATCAGAAGATTAGAACTAGAAAAGGTCAATTCACTCATTCTTTCACCATTGTTCCCCATAGAATAAATCCGAGAAAGGAATGTGATCCAGTCACACAGGAGGTTTTCTGGCCTTCATGAACTTTAACAAACTTTCCAAACTGACAGAGAGTTGTGTAAAAGCATCTTTTCTGAATCCATGTTGATTTCATTGGAGAATCAATTGAAAAGAACACCTTCTTTTCCTACAATGTGAAAACAATGAAGAAGATATGAAAAATATTTATTGTATAAAGCTGTTTTTCTACACAAATAAAAGATAATCCAAAATAGTTACCTCTTATCTTAGAGATGGCATTTGCTAGATGGCTTTGGAAATGAATATGTTGCACGCACATTGCAATTTTAAAGCATTTTTAATATTCAAGACCTTGAGGGAAGCTAATTACATGAATCATAAAATCATAGATTCCTAGGGATGAAAGAGACCTCAGGAGGTCATCGAGTCCAATCCCATGCCCAAAGCAGGACCAACCCCAACTCGTAGTGCATGAAGGGAAGCACTATTAAGGGCCTTTAATATAAATTGTGTCAATGTATAGTAAGAAGGCAGTTGTAGGTAGAAGCGTGTGTGTGTGTGTATGTTAGTAGCACCTCTACTGTAGTACCACTCTGCAGAATGGGGGTTTTGTTACTCATATCTGCTATTTGGATGTTTTTTAAGATCTTGTCATGCTGCTGGAGGTCTAGAAGGTAATGGTGGCCAAGAGTTCCTTCTAGTATCTATGCTTGATTAGGAGTTTAAACTTTTTTAAAAAAAATGTGGATCTTGCTACTGTAAGTCAGGCTTTTGGTAATTTGAGGTTAGATTGCTATATTGCATTTCCAGAGTCTGCACTGTCAGCCATTCCTAAACCTCAAATGCGGCAGAATGTGGTTGCCAATTTGAGTGCTCACAAGAAACCCATTCACACTGTGATTTGCACAGACTCTCAATTTTTCTTGGTACCTTTTAAGATATTGTTTTTTGTGTTTGTCTGACTCTGGAGTTCCCAGCCATGTAAATGAAATAAAAACCTGAATGATTTAGGTATTGGTAGATGAATTGACTGTCCTTGAGCACCCTGTTGTTAGGGTTGACACCTGATAACCAGATCTCCAAGGCCCTGGCCCTACCTTGCCTCTTCCTCCAAGGCCCTACCTCTATTACTTACTCCTCTGCACCCCTGCATGTAGGATTGCCAGGTGTCCGGTATTGACCTGGACAGTCCGGTATTTTCACCTTCTGTCTAGTTAAAAAAAAAATTCAGAAAATACCGGACACCTAAAACTCTCTCTCCAGTAGGGTTGCCAGGTATCCGGTATTGACCCAGACAGTCTGGTATTTTCGCCTCCTGTCTGGTAAAAAAAATTCAGAAAATACCGGACACTTAAAATGTCTGGTATTTTCTGTTTTTTTCCCCGACAGGAGACAAAAATACCAGATACCCTGCAACCCTAAGACACACTCAGCAACTGGGCCCAGACCCTGGCCCCTCTGCTTACCTGAGGGGGGAGCTCATCGAGAAAACAAGATGGCCACCAGCAAAAAGACCTGAAGCAAGGGGAAGTAATGCCTTCCCTGGGTCTTAGTGTTCAACTTCTCCCTCTTCCTATCCCTATTCTGACTCTGCATGAACTTAAAGGGGCATGCTGTTTTAATGCTATTTTATTTTATTTTATTTTATTTTATTTTATTTTATAACTCTCAGTGTCCTTTTTTTTTCTCAACAACTTTGGTCTCCCTCTTTTTTTCCCCCCTCAACAGAATTTTTTCCCCAGTGTTTTTTTTTGGGGGTGGGGGGTCGGTATTTTTGGTTAAACCATCTGGCAACCCTACCTGCATGTCAGAGGTGTCCCTGGATGGAGTGGGTTGATAGACATAGGCCTCCCTACCATCAAATGTTAACTGGGCTTTAGATATGGGTGTTGTTTAGGATTGCCAGGTCCCCAAAAACTAGGCACCTATCAATCCTAATATGGCAGCTGGACACAGAAGCCCAAACTCTGAGGCTTTGTCTACACTGCAGGGATTTTGCGCAAGAAGTCTTTTGAGGAAGAGTTCTTCCGCAAAAACTTCTTGCGTAAAAGTGCGTTCAGACCTCAAAGCACATCGCAAAAGTGATGTGCTCTTGTGCAAGACAGTGTCTGTGCAAGAAATCTCTGATAGCCATTCATAGAATGGCCATCAGAGCACCTGTGCTTTTTCCGATAGGGGTTTCCTATGGAGTGTCCACACTTGCCTTTTTGCACAAGAACTCTTGCGCAAAAGAAGTCATTCCTCATGGGGAGAGGAATAATTGTGCCACCAAAAGCCTTCTGTTCTGCTTATTTACTTGCGCAAAAGCATGCTTGAGGTATGGACGCGCCACCATTTTTTGCGTAAAACCAGCTCTTTTTGCGCAAAAACCTTCTTGTGTGGATGTAGCCTGAATGTCCAGGTAATGTCCCGGCAATCCAACCTTTTGTGGCTGGAGTGCTCATTCACCTGGTCTTTGTCCTCCTTCTTAAAGGCTTTTTTACAGAAATGTCATACAGGTGCTCATCCAGTCAATACCTTTTTGGGGATATGGGTTTAATCAGAAAAATAACAGAAAAGTAAAAGTCAAAGTCCCAGAAGCCTATCCCAAGAGAGGTTATTATCTCAGAGCCTGGGTGAGCAAAAGCACTCCTTAATGGGAGTCCATATTAATGGTTTTATAGGGTACATCTACAAAGTGGGGCTATTTCAGGATACCGGAAATATCTGAAAATAGTTATCCCATGTCTTTTAAATATGCACTGTTTAAAGATAGCACTTCCGCTATTTTGAAATCTATTTTGGCATCCCTGTAAGCCTTGTTCCACAAGTGCTTAAGGGATGTCTTGAAATAGCGCATTATTTCGAAATTTGGCGCTGTGTAGATGCTATTTCAAAATTCAGTCAAAATAAGGTACGCAATTTTCGTTGTGACAAGGTGTAACAGATGTGGAGCTGATATGTAATAATGTTATGAATACAGAGATATAACAATTTTATGAATACTACAGATCATAGAGTTATAGAATCATAGAGCTGGAAGAGACCTCAGAAGATCATCAAGTCCAGCCCCCTATCTATTCCACCCCCTCCCTAGGGAACTCATCCCAATGTTTCCCCAGCCTCCTCTGGAAATAGTTTTTCCTAATATCCAACCTAGACCTCTGCCACTGTAACTTGAGACCATTGCTCCTTGTTCTGCTATCCGTCACTACTGTGAACAGCCTTTCTCCATCCTCTTTGGAACCTGCAGGAAGTTGAATGCTGCTGTCAACCCTCACCCCCCTCACTCTTCTCTTCTGCAGACTAAACAAACCCAAATACCTCAGTCTCTCCTCATAGGCCATGCGCTCCAGTCCCCTAATCATTTTGGTCGCCCTCCACTGGACCCTTTCCAATGCATTCACATCCTTTCTATGGTGGGGGACCAGAACTGGACACAATATTCCAGATGTGGCCTCACCAGAGCTGAATAAAGGGGAATAATCACTTCTCTGGATCTGCTGGCAATGCTCCTCCTAATGCACCCTAATATGCCATTAGCCTTCTTGGCTACAAGGACACACTATTGACTCATATCCAGCTTCTCATCCACTGTAATCCCCAGGTCTTTCTCTGCTGAACTGCTGCTTAGCCATTCAGGCTACATCTAGACTTCAACCCTCTGTCAGCAGAGGGATGCAAATCAAGAACATCGAAATTGCTAATGAAGCAGGGATTTAAATATTCTGCACCTCATTAGCATAAACATAGCTGCAGCTTTTTTTCGAAACAGAGTTTTTTCGAAAAACCAGCAGTCTAGATGAAGATATGTCAAAAATAAAGCCTTTTTCTACAGATCCTGTATTATTCAAAAAATGAGGTTTACAAGATTTGTCGAAAAAGGCTTTATTTTTGACAGATCTGCATCTAGACTGCTTTTTTAAAAAAAACAACCCTCAATTTCGAAAAAAAGCGGCAGCCATGTTAATGCTAATGAGGTGCAGGATATTTAAATCCTAGCTTAACTAGCCATTCTGATGTGCCTAATCTACATCTCTCTATCGACACATGCTCAGACCCCAGCCTGTAACAATGCTTGGGATTCTTCTGTCCCAAGTGCAGGACTCTCCACTTCTCCTTGTTGAGCCTCATCAGATTTCTTTTGGCCCAAACCTCTAATCTGTCCAGGTCACTCTGTACCCTATCCCTGTCCTCCAGCATATCTACCTCTCCCCCTAGCTTAGTGTCATCTGCAAACTTGGTCAAACGGGAAATTATTGTATATTGGTTATTGATCTAACTTATATTGGAGTAGTACGATATTTATTATATGTATTTAATATTCATATTAATATAATACTCATTTGAAGGGAGGTGACACAATGGGTTCTCAGATAAGTATACCCAAACATATACTTGAGAGACATTGAGGCAACTTATTAATATCAAAGATCCTGTCTCTAAAAAGCCTTGTTTGCCAAAGAGGGAAGTTTCCAGGTTTAAAGGCCATCAACATTTCAAAAGTGGTTTGCTTTCTGTAAAGGGGGGACAAGCTGATTTAGAGCCTTCAGAACAATCAGTAGGTAGTTAGTCTTACCAGTGTCCCAGTGTGAAAGATGATTACATACTAGGCAAGGGTGTGGTCTCTTTTATTGTTCTTAAGATGCATGTTTTTCTATGCAAAACTTTTGGTCTAAATATTTCAGATTGTTTGTCACTGGTTATGACAGTCATTGCTCTGGATGGAAAAGTACTATAGTATGTGAATCTAGAGTAAGATTTGCCAAGGCAATCAGGGTATGTCTACACTACCCTCCTAGTTCGAACTAGGAGGGTAGTGTAGACATACCCACAGAGAGTTACTCCATAGGATTTTATTGTAGCACTGTAGTCCTTTGTTTTGTTTTGTGACAGAATCAAACCCTTTATACCTAATCCCAACCCCTTCTTAGCCTCCATGGGAAATATAGATATTTAATAATTGTGGCTGATACACCAATATATTTAAACTTTGAACTTCTGATCTTTTCTAATGTCACAAGTAAAATAACCAACGTGTCCCTTTTCTCCTCTCCTTCTCCTGTTGCTTTGCTATTAAGGCTCACAGGACTTTTTACTGTTTGAAGCTGAGACGTATGGACATGTAAAGAAAAGATCAAAAAGTCTCTGAGGGTATGTCTACACTACCCCGCTAGTTCGAACTAGCGGGGTAGTGTAGACATACCCTCAGTTAGTACCAGGGGACGGCAGTGCAGGGCGCGTTTTCACTATGGGCTGGATCAACAGGCAGCAATCAATACAACGGGGATAGATTTATTGCATTTAATATAGATGTGATAAATCAACAGCTGACTGGTCTCCTGGTGTTTCCACCAAACTGAGAAATATAAGTAGAGTCAGTGGGAGAGCGTCAGCTGTCAAATTGACACTGTGAAGTTACTGCTGTAAGCAGACCTGAGTGCGTCAACTTCAGCTATGTTATTCGCATATCTGTAGTTGTATAACATAAATCGATATGGCATTATAGACAAAGGCTTAGAGTGGAACAAGCATATTATTTCATCCTGAATGGACTGTGTGACAGCTAGAGACCTGAGAATTGGGGGGAATGCATATGACAGAAGGCAGAGAGATGAGTATACTGTCATTCTAGAGATCTTTGGAGTTAAAAGTATGAGCTCCTAAGATATGTGGCTGAGAGCTTTAACAAAATCATATCCTCTGTGGGATTAAGCACATAGGTGGGGGAAACCACAGACACTGGACAGTGAGTTATAAAGTCCAGGAAATTAAATTGTGAACTATTTTCTGTAAATGAGTCCTATTTCAGAATACCAATAAGGCACAAATTTTGAACATTAAAGGCTATTAAGCTTTGGAACAAGTTACCTTGGGATGTGATAGGGTCACCATTTTTCTTCAATCAAGAGTATTCATCTTTCTAATGTACGGTCTTGATGCTGAAATTACTGGGTGAGATTCTTGGGCCTATGCTATGCCAGACATTAGACTAGATGATCAAATCTGCCTTTAAAATGTATGCATCTATGAAACAAAATTATGTCTGAAATTCTGTCTCAATATTTTTGTATGCATTTTAAAATTTTTGGCATAAGACTAATGCATAGAAAAATAGCCTATTGATGTGTCAGACATTTTTCTAAACAACATTCAGAGTCTGCTAAAACATGTTGACTGATTATAAATTATGTGTGTGGCAAGAAGGGGTTCTGAATCTTGCGGGTGAATTAAGAATTAATCAAAATTTTGTCAATCAGCACTCGTTAATGGATATGGTACACACCTTGTGGGAGACCCTCTCCTTCCTGGAAAATATGTCTTTTGTGTGTCAAGAAGCTACATTTTCATGGAGGCAAAGTTAACGCCTATCAATTACGGTCTTGTAAAAACTTGTTGAACCTCATAACCTTGTTATGTTTCTTCTGGAAAGTTGTGAGCGTAGCCAAAATTGCAGAGGCTAATTTATGCATGCTACCCAATCACCATAAGGATCTGCGGTGATCTCTAGATGGCTTCAGTAATGCTAATATCCCATTTAGTTGTGCTAATGGCTAAATGCAGAATGAGTACCCATTATCCATGAGTAGATCACAATGCAATCTAAAAACGGCTATAGCTTGAGCAAACTTTTCTACAGCGGCTGCCATTTTGTGATGGGCTGTTAAACATAATACTCTGTTCCATCCTACCTCAGGCATTTTGCAGATGTATCACTTCAAGCAGTATTTATACAGGTACAGTTGTTTTGAAACAGATCGACATCTCCAAACATGGGTGCCTAAAGACAGTCAAAATGATACATAGTTAGGGTCCTAAATGAGCCTCTCTTTTTACTTCAAGGAAGACTTTTCTCCTTTCTCCCCACCTTTATTTCTTCACTTAGATAATTTATTTTGATTAGATAACTGTGCCTGTTCAAAGTGTATTTAATATCAGTGTGAGTTGAAGCCAGAACTTGAGGCAGCCATTTGGGAACAAATGGACAGAGAGTTCTGAGGAAAGGTGAAAATATAAATGCAAAGATACATATAATGGCTGTACAATTATTTAGAAAAATAGCTATGAAATCTTTGTGCAGAATGGCTAATAATGGTCCTCTGCCAATCAAAATACAAAATACAATGATTTACATTTGTATACAGTTCTTGAGAAATATTATTTTTTCTGCATTTATTAAAATCAACCTTACCTCAAATAGATTAGACTGCCCCTTTAATCTGATTTCCTAGGTACTGTCAATAATTTTTCTTACACAGAAATTCAGTCACAGAGACTACCTAACACAGAAATTCAGTGAGCAAGACTGTCTAAGCAGTCCTGTTCACAAATGCTAAAATATTGTTTATTTGTATTGCAGTAGTATCTTGAGGCTCTGCCGAACTAGATGTTCTACACATATGCATTCTATTAAAAATAAAATAAAAAAATGTTGTGTAAATATACGTACCACAAATGTATACATCAAAGGGCAGATCCTGATCTCAGTTGCAGCAAAATAAAACTCAGTTACATGAGTATAAATACAATGAAATAGACTCACAGCCAGTTGGCTTCGGTGAAGACACTTCTGATATTCTCTCGGGTAACTGAGCTCAGATTCTGGCTCTCTGTTTTCTATTTCTTCAAGTCCTCATCAGAGATATAAAATTTAGAGGTCAAAGGAAACAGCTCCAACTTTACAGAATATTTGACAAAAGGATTTTTTTCTGTGTCCTTTTAAACTGAAGCTCAGTCAAGAATGTGCCAGTTTTAAAAAAATGACACAGCATTTTTATACCACCCTCCATGTATTTTAAATGTGTCAGATATCATGCTGGAAGTCATGGCTGAGAAAGTTGAAACAATATGAGACATGGTCCACGCATGCCATGGAGAGCTATTTTGCTGCCTATGCTTAATGCACTACAGAACAGAGGTTAAAGTCTATTACTAGAGGTTAAATTAAATAAAAAAATAAAGTTTTGTAAAAATAAATAATGATTTCAGGTCTCATTATCTGCTCCACTGCTGATTACTGTGGCTCTTTCTTTCATAAAGAATGCACCTGCTGTGCTGCTGAATGTGCCAGGTATGCCCTGACATTTCAATGACTGATGGGATGTTGATGGGCTATGTCTGCACAGCAGGTTTTATAGAAGGCCAGACGCAAAGCTTGCATTTAAAGATTATTTGCTTTTACCATGGCTTTTCTGGGAATGGAGAGTATAGGAGTCTTCCCCTGAGTTTGAACACACCATGCAGTGGCCAGGGGGAACTCCAGTCTCTGAGCTCAGAAGACTAGCCCTCCACATGCATTAGGGCTACAAAATGGGCCAATCAGCAGGGGAATTTCCAAGGAATATGGATCCTGCATGGTTTCCCTAAGGTAGTCCAGCTCCACACCAATCCCTGCATATGTCTGTGTTTAATGCCACATGTCTGTGAAACAATTTCATATTCAATTTACACTTTGGAAGAAAGCCCTTCATCTCTTCCATCCCTGCCAGACCCTCATGTCAGGATCATGTGTTTCCTTTATAGCTATTGATCATATGGGGAAAGAACAGTACAGCCGAAGAAGGAGCATTTTAATTCATGCTCTTTTGTGTTACAAAGGCAAACTCATCAAGTTTTGGTAGGTAAAGAAAAAGTGGCATTCATTTATTTTTCTCTAAAATATAAGTGCTATTAATCTTTATGCACATATATTCTGTTAGCATTTGGAAATTTACCCCTTTTTATAAATCACCCATATAGCACAAAGACAAATATTAATATAATTATGCAAACATATGCCTTACTACTGTGCCTACAACGCCACATGATTACATAACCTTTCATCTCAAAATGCCCCTGGTAGCAATGAATTCTGACAAACACAAACTTGTGTAGGCCAAGGTAGGCTGCCATAGCAACATAACAGTAGGGTTGCTGTTTCTGGTGCAATTCCTTTATGGGCAGTGCCTGCTCAGATTCTATGTTGTCCTAGAGACTAAATGCCACAGGCCTTCTACGCTAAAAGGACAACACAGTGCAGAGGGTCTTGTGTCATGGGATGCATATTGACTGCAAAGGATTCTGATGTGCCTCCACAAAGGATGGAGTGGAAGAATCTGATCAGAGTTCATTGCCTCCTATATCAAAATGTTGGATGTGTTCCCTTTCTCATGCTCTAAGACTCCCAACACTGGAAAATGCTTTTAACAGAAAACTTTTCTGTTAAAAGCATTTTCGGAAAAGCACGTCTAGATTGGGAGGATGCTTTTCCGCAAAAGCACTTTTTGCGGAAAAGCGTCCGTGGCCAATCTAGACGCGGTTTTCTGCAAAAAAGCCCCGATTGCCTTTTTCGCGATCGGGGCTTTTTTGCGGAAAACAGTACTATGCTGTCTACACTGGCCCTTTTGAGTAAAAGTCTTTCAGAAAAAGACTTTTGCCCAAATGGGAGCAGCATAGTTTTTCCGGAAAAGCACTGATAATTTTACATGAGATCGTCAGTGCTTTTCCGGAAATTCAAGTGGCCAGTGTAGACAGCTAACAAGTTTTTCCACAAAAGCAGATGATTTTGCGGAAAAACTTGCCAGTCTAGACACAGCCTCAGAGTATGTCTACACTACAGAGTTTTTTTTCAGAGAAACAGCCATTTTTCTGAAAAAACTTCAAATACATCCACATTGCAATCACATTCTTTCAAAAGAAAATCGAAAAAACTGAGTTTTTCCGACATTGGTAAACCTCTTTCTATAAGGAAGAAGGTTTTTTCTGAAAGAGCTCTTTCGGAAAAAGGCATGTGTGGACGGGGAAGAGGGAGTTCTTTTGCAAGAGGAGGAAAGAGGAAAAAGTACAGGTGCCCTGGTGACCATTCTGCCCATAGAAATCACAGCTTACATGCAAGATAGCATCCATTCAGTGTGGATGCTATCTTTTGAAAAAACAGATCACTTTTTCGATGCACTTTGGCAGTGTGGACACTCTCTTCCGGAAAAGCTTCTTCTGAAAGAAGCCTGCAGTCTAGACATAACCTTACACAAGTGCTTCATTGTTAGCATGTGAGTAGTCCCACAGAAGTCAAACAGGATGACTCCCACATTTAATGATAGGTGAGCATATAAGTGTTTGTTAGATTGGGAACCAAAACGATTACATTGAATACATATGGGCCAAATCCTCAGCTGATTCGAATCGGCACAGCTCCAGGGACTTACATGGGAAATGCCATAGACAAGGATGTCACTGCTACATACGTAACAATCCACTTCTTTTAATTGCTAGCAGTATGACTAAGCCTATTTCAAATAAAGGAAATAGCCAACCTAGTTATGTATGTAAGTGGCACCCGAGTAAAAAAGATGAGGATTTGTAAGGGAAAACTATGAAAATGTGAAGATGATTATAGAATAATGGGGCTAGAAGGCACCAGGAAAGGTGATGTAGTCCATTCCCTTTATACAGAAGCAAGACCAAGTAGGCCCGATAGGTGTTTATGGTAGCAGAAGGCTGAATAAGATACATTTAAGGCATAATTCCCATTATCAGACCTGTATAAAAAGTATGCTTTGAACTCTATTTTACACAAAAGTAATTAACATTAATAAGTGGGTGTTTAAAAAGAAGTAGCTGAATGTTTTCTTATTTGCATGTAGATGTCTGCTTAGAAGCAGAGAAATGGCATTATGCAGCTAAATTTTTGGTTGCATTTGATCAAAAATACTAGAAATATATAAGGAAGAGTTGTAATTCATGGAAAGTAATGCCTAATAAAAACACTGGGGGCCAAATATTGTTCTGTCTTCCACCCCATCTGACCCCATTGAAGTCAAGCACCCAGAACCTCTTAAAAATATTTGCTTATCATGATGAAGGACATGTGCATCCAAATGTACTGTGGATGTGGTTTGAAATCTGTATTACATTAGGAAAAATGCAAATGTTTTACGATATATGGCACACTTGGAGCCTATTAATAGGAGCTGAAGAATCTGATATATTATTTAGATTAAGAAGTATTTTTGGCATAGAGGATATTGGAGTAAATAGCTCATTGCATCTGAGTTTGATTCCTGATATGATATGAACAAGGGCAAGGCAGATATGAAGGACATTAAAGTGGCTGAGATTCATTGCTGTTTGGCAGTCACTCAAATAGTGTGTATACCCAAGCCTTGTTGAATGATACACGCATCTTTACTCAATATACATTTTTCAAGTCATCAGCTTATTAAAAAATATGAAGTTTCTGGATGTCATGTGCCATCAGGAGTTATTTTTCCATAACCTGAATATGTTGAATGTTTTTTCTTCTTTCTCAAATTGTAATATAGCTGGTCACAAGGTTAAAGCACATTTTAATGAAGTCTTTCTATGCATGTTCATAAAAAGTATTTTCATACAAACATTCTGACTGTAAAGCATTCTCATACAAACTGCACTTATATATATTGTACATAATACTGTACTGGGTGTGATCTTCAAAACTGCTTAGCAGTGCAAATCACTGCTCCCTAAAAAAGATCAATAGAGGCAGATTTAGGCCAACTTTGGGCATTTAAAAATGACATCCCAAATGTGAAAATGAGTGCAATACATGTTCGCCTGGAACATATGCTAAGGAAAAATATCAAGATATAACACAATTTACTTGCTCTGTTTCATTCCAGTTTAGAAAAATGTTCTTTACATCTCTTGGCACATTGTACAAAATAGACATGGTCAAAAGTGTACTTGAAATGTTCATGATATTTTCCTAGAAATTCTGAATTTTTCAAATTTTTCACCTATTTCTAGAATAAAGTTATCACGCAGAAACATTTTGCTTATAGTTTTTCTTACCACAGAAACTGTAATATCACCATTGTGTGATTTTTTATCAATGTATTTGCATTGTATTATGGAATCATTCAAAGGCCCATAGAAGTTCTATTTCACTCAGTGCTGTATAAATTCAGAAGGGAAAAAAAGGAAGACATTTCTTTAAAAGGAAGAATGTATATTCTATTATGAGACAAGATATAAAGAATGAGTGTGACAGACTATAAAGAAAGGAGGATGACAAAGGTAACAATGAAAATTCAGAATCAGTTAAAAATACCGTTACGTTTTTGCCCTGACCTGCTACGAATAGGTAGGTGACCTTGTCTAAGCACCATAGAAGAAGTAGGATTTGAAAGAGATACTAACAGCTTTGTGAACTAGTTCAAAGAAATAGTTAAATGTGTAAGAGGCACAGAAGAAATTTCACAGATGTTATCCAATTCCTCCTTGAAATTTTCCAAGATTACTCTCCCCATTTTTCTCTGAGTGTCCTGCAATCTTGTTTAAAGTATTGAACAAATTGAAGAGAGGACTTACCCTTGTGAGAAACTGCAAATTAGTTGTTTCAAGGCCAACATGTAACTCTCCACCATGATCCTCTGAGATCGATCCTCCCCTAGAGGAAGGCTCAAAGCAAACATAGTACAAGCCTATGCAAGTCTAGAGGACAGTGACAAAATGATTAAAAGGGTAGAAAACATGATTTATACGGAAAGATTGAAAAAAACCTGTTTAAACTGGAGAAGACTGATTGTAAGAGAGGACATGTTAACAGTTTTCAAGTACAGGCAGTCCCCGGGTTACGTACAAGATAGGGACTGTAGGTTTGTTCTTAAGTTGAATTTGTATGTAAGTCGGAACTGGTACATATTGTAGGAGAAACTCTAGCCAAACATTTTCCAGAGCTCAGTTTTA